AGGAGACTTTGTTTCGGAGCTTGGTCGTGAGCTGGTCTTGTTAGATCTGTGTTCGCCAGTTTGGCTGGGTTCAAGATCTTGTGTCGGTTCCCTTTTGGTCTCGTTTCGGTCTTCTTGCAATGGTGTGGGAGGTGAATCGAGTGATTTGTTGAAGTCTGGCTTCTGTGGCTCAGATTTTCTCTTGATGAAGTTGTAAGCATTGGGTATATTGGATTTCTCTTGAGCTTTGGTTTTGATCTCATTGATTCTTTTGTGCTCTAGTTGTGGAGTGTTGTGGTATTGTCTTTTGTACGGCTTGTGTGAGTTAGGGTTCTTTTGGGCGAGGAGATGTGCTTTTTCTTGGTCCCATTCGTTTGTTTGTGGTCTGAGCGTTTGGTTGGTTACAGAGGTTGGTTTGGTGTTCTCGTTTAGACTCGGTGGTTAGGTGATAATTGTCTTGGCATCGCTGTCTCCTCTGTTTCCCGGTTTCTATGGTAAGGCTACTCGACGTTGGTTCTATGCTATGTTGCATTTATCTCCCTGCGTTCTTATCCGCCTCTTCTGTCTGCTAGTTAAGTTAGACATAGAGCTGCGTTTTGGTTCTCCAGGTGTCTGGGTGTGCCTCAGGGTTTAGGTTTTGTTCTGTTCTTATGTTTGTTGGCTCAGATTTGGCTTCTTTGTGCTCTTGGGTTTAGTGTGTAGATGTACTATTAACTTCGTGGCTTGAGTTTGGACTTACTTCTTTGCTTTCTTCTTTAATCAAATATCTTATCTTCTTTGTATTAGTTCTTATGTATCCTGAGGACAAAGATTTGTTACTTTGAAAATCTTTGTTTCCTTAAGCGTTGTTGTTGTACCTTGTTTGGACAAACAGCCATCACGTTAAAATTTCTCAACATGACAAAATTAGTCACACTCATGTGGGTTGGGTAGATGACAACACGTCACATAAAAGATTTTTTAAAATTGTCTTCTTTATTTAAATCAAATCAGAAACTGCAAAACTGCATGCCGTTTTAGAGGTCAATAAACGTTTGTGAACTTCAGGTTACACGGCGCAATATAGCACTAGACGGCGTGCAATCTATCCATCATTAAATCGATTCGTATCTGAGGAGAGGGAAACGAAACGATATTATAATCAATCAATCAATCGATTTTATAGCAAAGTCAAGTCCTATCTCTCTCCAATCTTCTTCTTCTACACACCCAGAGAGAGAAAAAGAATGGACTTTTTTTAAGAGAGAGAGAGAGAATAAAGTAGGCGAGAAAGACGGTCACTGACTGAAGAATATCTTCCCCCTTTCTCCACTTCACTCTCGAGATCTCTCATCGGCCGATCTTCCCCTTTCGCCGCCGGTAACCATTCCGATTACGCTTTTTCTTATGACGCTTCGTTTCTCAATTTCGCAGTTTTATTACAAAGTTTGGCTTTTTCTTACTGGGTTTAGTGTTCATTTAATTTTGGGATCCGACATTGTCCGAAAGAATTTAGCGTACTTCAATTGAGTTTCCTTATTTGTATGTGCTTATTAATTAAACCCAAGAACAAAAGTTTGTTTTTTTCGTTCGAGTAATTATTCTTTTGCTAAATGCAATTCTTGCAGGTTTGTTGTTATTTTTGCTGACCATCGTTGAAATGGGTGCTTCGGGGAGATGGATTAAGGCATTGGTTGGTTTCAAGAAATCTGATAAGTCAAGGTCTTCAAAAAAAGATGATAATGTAACTACTCTCTATATGCTATTTGATTTCTAATTTAATTATGCCAATCTTGGATTAATGATTATGTTTTGTTCAATTGCTGAAGAAGCTTAAGATTGCTGCTACTAAGAGCCGGTTTGGTAGAAAGAATTCAGTTGATTTTGTTGATATTGAGAATTTGCAAGATGGATTTGGAGATTCCAATACGCATAGTATGATAGATACCGGTGTCTCTACTTCGACTTCAATACAATCGTACGGTGCAGCTTATGAAGAAAACAGGAGGGAACATCAGGCTGCAACACGCATCCAAACAGCTTATCGAGGATTTCTGGTATCAATTTCGACTTGTTAAGCTCCTCTTTTTTTTTCTTGTAGTTTTATCTATTGCATGCTTTGCTTCTTAACTTATGGTTTCTCTTGTGTGTTGCATGAGATACACATTGATGTCTTTCCAGTTGTTACATAAAAAACTAGTTTGTTCGCTTTAAAAGCAGCGTGGATTGCCTGTTGTTAAAACCTAGTTTGTGTGCAAAAAAAATCCTGAGGCTGAAGGGAACAGTAGTCTGAGAATATGCATCCTTAGTTAGAATCTGTTGTGTTGTTTTCTTTTTCCCTTCTACTCTATGGCTTTGACTGGACTGAAAAAAGGAAGATACATTTCTTAGGCTAGAAGAGCTTTACGAGCGTTGAAGGGATTGGTTAGACTCCAAGCTCTTGTCAGAGGACATGCTGTGAGAAAACAAGCAGCTGTAACGCTTCGATGCATGCAAGCGTTAGTAAGAGTTCAGGCTCGTGTACGTGCAAGACGTGTTCGTCTCGCCTTGGAAAGTGAAACGGGTCAGCAGACACTTCAGCAACAGCTAGCAGATGAAGCCCGAGTTCGAGAAATAGAGGTGATAGCCACTTATATTTATTTATTGGCCTTTAATATTTCTTCAAAGAATTACAGTCATGTTGACTATGTGTTATCATCTCCCAGGAAGGTTGGTGTGATAGCATTGGATCTGTTGAACAAATCCAAGCCAAGCTACTAAAGAGGCAGGAAGCTGCAGCTAAGCGTGAGAGGGCTATGGCATATGCTTTGACTCACCAGGTTACTTACTATCACTATTCTAGCAATGTGAAACATTTTTTCCATCCCACGTTAATAGTGTCTGGTGCTGTAAATGGATGCTTCTCTTACATATAGAGTTTCTCTCTTGTAGTGGCAAGCAGGAGCTCGGCAGTTATCTACGCACACTGGCTTTCAACCTGACAAAAACAACTGGGGATGGAACTGGTTGGAAAGATGGATGGCTGTTCGTCCATGGGAGAATCGGTTTCTCGACAATAACCTCAGGGACGATGCTAAATTAACTGGAAATGACATGGTGGAGTCTGAGAATGTGAATAAAACGCAGCTGAAAAGTGCAAGCAAGAAAGCAAACACTTCAAATCTGATATCTGGTATTTCAAGTCAGAAGACTGGCCCATCTCAGTCAGATGGTAATTCTTCTCCTGGAATATCTTCAAGCGTTCCAGTGGTATCCAAGTCAATGTCAAAGCCCGCTAAAGACGATCTTGCTGTAGAGGTAAACTCAAGACCTGGCCCTGGTTCAAGATCGCACAGCAATCCGAAAGAAAGATCGAGAGAGCCAGATAGATCCACAAAGGGACGATTATCTCTGCCAAACAGTGGTCAGTTTTCTTTCTCTACGCCTTGGTCCCTTTTCCATTTTTGTAATATTGAGAATAGTCTTATCAAGCTGCTGAATTGCTGATAATAAGCGAATCAGTTTGCATTGGTCATAATCATAAAGATGCAAAACCACCGTTTGGAAATTTGGATAGCTTAAGTAGTAAAACCCAATCTGAGCTAATATGCCAGTTAATTTGTTACTCCCTAATAGATCTAACAGTTAAACATAGAACCAATCAAACTAAGAAGCAGTAAATTTGATGTTTGAAGCATTCTGGTTCTGTATTTTGACCCATTTTTTAATATTATTCATATGCAGGAAAATCCTTGGGACTTCAGGCAGCTAAAGCCAACCGTGCGGGAAAACTCACTCCAACATCTCATAAAGTAGTTGAGGACAAATCTGGCCAAAACCAGAGAAGACGCAACTCCGACCCAATAAAGCCGAGGCACGCATAGCCTGTTAGGTGCATAGCTCTGAGAATTGTCAGCCCAAATCCCTCTTCCATCGTCCTGTACATACACAGCTTCTGGGTAAAAGGAAAGAAAAAGACAAAATCATGGGAGAACACAAATGGGTTTTTAAGTCTTAAAGAGAGTTGCTTGGTTCATCGATCAAGAAAGAGAACAACATCGTATTGGTGTCTCTCTGCCTTCGTTGTTGTCTGTTATTTATGTGTAGCCATCCTTATGTTTTTTTTTTCCCATGATTCTCTGTGGATTCTTATATGGATCGGTAAGAAAAGTGTTATTATTTAAGTTACAGTATATGATCTTAAGGTGTTTGGGGTATATTTCTTGATAACAGACTAGACAGACCATGTTGCTTCATGACCCTCCCAATGTGATTATATATAGTTGTTTTGTGTACGTTATAGTTTTAGAGTTAACATAATAATATATTACTATATGTCATCTTTGACAAAGGACAAATTGATTAATTAAAGTGCATTGAAGAAAATGTCAACAAGCGAAGAGTATGGTTAGTAGGGAATCAAACAAAGAAGCTCGAAGCCATGG